GTTGTGAGCCCAAGAAGTTCGGAGGCTGGAAGGGAAACTTTGGGAAAAATATTGTCGAACATCTCGATCGACATGTTCACATGCTGGAGTAAATACATGTGCATACCTTCCAGTAGGTTCGAGGGAATGATGTCTTAGTCTGGATGCAATCTGGATACTACCAGTTTGCAGCGCGGTCGGGATGCAATCCCCTTAGTTGGAGAAAAGCGCTGGTTTCAAAAGTCGGAGAGCAGCTTTGGCCAGCGCGAGGTCGCTCTGCCCGTGCTCGCTTCCAGAAGTCTTACCGATGAGAGGGCGCCTTAGGCGATCGTGGCGATCCAGTTTTGCTGAGGGAGGAAAAGATCCAGTGAAGCTGCTCCCAAATGCTGCTTCCATGCGGATGTTGTGCATGATGTTTGAAAGAAGAGCTACTGTGTGATGCTTAAGCCGTACAAGGAAGGCTGATGCATGCCACTTCGTGAAGATCAAGAGCCGCAGCTATCTCTGTTCAATAGCACAGGATGAGCTGCGGCAGGTTATGCCCCAGTCTCATGTAGAGTTGCAGGCTTAGAGCCCTCATTGAGCTCTTCTCCGTTCCGGGCGTCTCTCGCTTCGACGCCGTCGTCACGGTTCGAGGTCAGGAGAGTGCTCCGAAGCTCATGATGAGGGCCAGGAGAGGGCGCAGCGGCTGGGGTTCCACATCCGGCTAGGCTTCCGAAGGCTAGGGCCGCTAGGGTCGTTGATAGACCCAGCCTGACTATGTGGTGTCCAATAAGATCCAATTCCAATAACAATATTTTTGGATGTGATGGTTCCATGTGTTTGGTTGTTTGGTCAACAAGATGATTGCTCTCTTTCAACGATGATTGCCCCTTTGTGGGGCAGCTCATGGCAGATCCCGGGATGGATTCAGCACGCGATGGATCCTGTGTCGGAACGTCTGGGAAAGTTCTCTTAGGATCCTGTCTACATGTAGAGTCTATTCAGACACTCCATGGGACTGCCATATATGCCGATCAGTTGGGGTGGTTTGGGGGGTCGCATATATATGGCAGTCCCATGGAGTGTTTGGGGTAGAGTCTATACATGGACCATGGGGACTCCCTCAAGAACCACCGATGCATGCCGGACATGAGTCCGTCTCCGCACGCCAGACTCTGCGCCCTCGTTCGTGTCAAGGACTTGGCCATTCCGGCCGCAGGCAGGGCACCGGATTCTGGGGACCCTGAGTCTCCGCACTGCCGGGCATGCATTTTCAGCGGTGGATTCTGTGGGTAATGATATTCAGCTGTGGATTCATGTATTCAGTGGTGCGCAACAGGGCACCGCAGCCAGCTGTGGATTCTTCCACATGTCCCAAGCTGGACACCGCAGGCTGGACACCGCAGCTCGGCTCGAAGACGGTCAAGTCGACGGCTCGAGAGGAGGACTTCTGCGGACTTCTGCGTGCGTGTGTGCTGGACTTTCACCGTGCCACAGCAGACAAGGAACTTCGCATTGACATGTTACGGTGTTATGTGAGGCAAGGGAAATGAATTGACCATAATAATATAGGACTAATTATATACCTGCACCCAGCGCCCGCAGGAATTCCAGTCTTGAGCCACAAACTTGTGAGCTGGCATTGCTAATTGTAGAGTCTATAGTCAGCTCACAATTAGACTATAGTCTAGAGTCTCTATTAGTCTATAGTCTATAGTCTACAACGATCTGTGGATGGCTGTTCATGTCGACAGGACTCGATGTCTCATCAGGACTCTCCGTGAATTCCTGAGAGACGGGACAGGGATCCCTGAAAAGGACATGGAGAGCCGACCAAAATAATTAGATCCTGAGATGGGGAAAGTGATGGATTCTTCAATTTGGATGAGACAGGATCCATGGGAAATGGAGTCCTGGTCGTTGAAATTTACATCCGCTTATGGCTGGATAAAGTCATGCCTTACTTATGGCTTATGGCTTTCTATAGTATACATCCATTTCCCAACCCAGACACTCCCGGAGTGTCTGCCATATATGCCGCCCCATTGACCCCCCTGGCACCACCCTGGCCGTTTCTCGGCAGTCCGAACTGGCAGTCCCAGACGGGTCGTGTCTGGGTGGCCGGTGGGTTGCACTTCGGGGTGATGGCCGGTGGGCGGAGAGAGTCCGACGCTTCTCACGCCTCTCACGACGCTGAAAAGGGTCCGAAAGGAGCGTACCTTCGGAGTCGGAGTCGCTTGGGAAGCACCGAGCAGCACGAACCGGAAAAAGGGGTGGGTCGAGATGAAAAGCAAGCTCGGCCAGACCTCCGTGTTTCCAACGCGTCCTGTTTGTGTTTTGGATGAGTCTCCCAAAAGAGTTCGATGGGGTCACGGTGCGCCCGCTCCTTGACGGCCTGGTCCAAGGCTCTCCACTCGGCCATTTCCAACCCTGGCAGACTTGCGACTGCAGGCGCCTTCGCAGCACGACGCCGCGGGGAACGCATCGCGAGACGCCGAACCGACGGATCGAACGGCACGAGGGACTGGGTGCTGCTTCATGCATGTGAAAACGCCCCCTGGTCGAATCATTGGGTGAACGTCGGGTGTTTGACGCCCAATACGCCGAGGTGGACGAGCGGCTGCACGAGGCAATCAAGGGAGGTGCCTTTCAAGGCACCACACGGAGCCGCAGCGAGAACAGCAGGCTCCGATGGGAACTCAGGCAGGGACGGGACGACGAGTCCTCGGCGACGAGACCGGCCATGGTGGTGAGGTGGTGTTGTGTGATGTTGTGTGTGGTGTGATATGTTTATATATTGATATGTTTTTTTGCCTGGCTTCAAGTTTAAGGGGTCCGGAACTAGAGTGAGATGATTGGACCTGTGGTGCGAGCGTTAGTTTTTGGATCTCTGTTTTTGGGGGAGGGCAGGGCATGTCAGGGTCCATCGGTCTTGGGCATTCCTTCGTCAATGGTCAGGGGCCGGCGACTTTGTTGCGCATCAGCAGGGGTGCGGAAGATTCAGAAACGAGCCTAAACATTATATTATATGATATTCACACCGCTTTGCGGTCGAAACCGCCCGCACTCTCCGAGTGTGCGTCGATCTGTCTCGGTCGGTCTGTCTCGGTCTGTTTGGGTCTGTCTGTCTCGGGCTCCACAGGGGCAAGCACAGAGGATGTCAATAATGCAGGGTCTCTTAGGCTGCATAACAGACATCGCCAATGCCTTGCTCCGAAGTCAAGCGGACAAGCATACACACGATGTCAATATAGATATAATCACAGCACTCTAGAGCAAAAGTGCACCCCCGAACATAATCTAGCAACTCTAGCAGTGTACGCGAACCGGACACAACGCCGCAATTTTTGGTGCGGGCGGATTTGTTCGTGGGAGCAGACGGAAGCCGCAAGCGCAAGCCGTCAGCGAATGCTTCTGAGAAAGGAGAGCGGCTTTGAAAATCACTGAAAAGCCAAGTGCTTTTCTGTGCGATGCGAAGGAGAAAATTTGCCGATGGTTAAAGTTTGTCATGGATGTGGCTAAGGTCAGACTCACTTGTAAACTTCGGGAGAAAAGTCATGAAGCGGCGTGATCCTTGAAGAAGTCTGTTGGGGTTAGAAATGTCTGGGTTCCAAGATGCATCAGGATATGTCGGGATCAGGTGGTGCCCATGGTTCGTTTGAGTCTGAAAGAATCAGAATCAGAGAGGTATCACGGTATGATACAATTTGGGGCTCACAATTGGCGTCCATCCCTTGAATTTTCCCAAAGTGCCATGGCCAGGGCAGCTCGATGTGAGCTGGAGCAGGGCGAAGTTGAAGCAGCCTGGCAACAAGAGGCGGGCCGTGACCGACCAATGACAGAGGACAGTCAGGCATTGAAACCATTTACTGCAACTAATCTCACAGCCACGGATCAAGATTTGAGTCTGAACGCGACAGCAGCCTGTTCAGATTGACAAGGGTTTGCTTTGATGCGGGTCAGTTTACAAAGGCGCGTGCATCTGTCATGTCATCTGTGTGCGCGCATCGTGTCTCCACATGTTTGGACCTCCCCGTTCCCCCAAGAGGTTGGACCATCCTCATCCTCCCTTTCCACGGACGTGACAGCTCGGACGTTTTGGGCGCTGGGACGCACGTCTGAGTCACGGATCCTTTTTCGGCGCAGCCGGTGCAGGTGGAATTCTGGAAGGCAGAGGTGAGCAGACTAGAAGTGGTGGACTTAGGTTCTTGAGTGACAAGCTGTTCACTGCTGGGGTGTTTTTGTTGTTTAAATATATCATATACAAGTTGCAGCTTTCATGCATGTTGGAGGAAGGATGAGGAAGGGAATTCTTTGCACTTGAAGATTTTCACACTGAGGCAGAGTTGCTTGAGCTAAAACAGCATCGGGCACAGACCTTGGCCTTGTTCAGTTCTGCAAACATGTGATCGACGGATCTCTCTCAGTCTACCCCGACGCCGGCATACCCAGCACCCCCAATGAACTGGATCTTGACCAGTGGGGATAGGGATCTGCCATGCAGGTCAACTGGCCGTAGAGGTCTCAGGTTCTCAGTGTCTCCATCGTCTCGGAAAGATCGAAGTCGTTCGAAGGACACGAGGATGGACTCTCCGTTGATTAAAACATTGCCCAAGGGGGTGGGAACCCGAAGCTTGGGGCCGAGCCTTGCTCCGGAAGACACTCCCAGTCTCCCGCTTAGACTGGGAGACTGGGAGTCGGCCGAGTTGGTGTGCGACATCCACAGAGGCATCTGCAGAAGCGCTCGGAAAGGGCCTGCAGAAGGCGGCGGAATTGGGCGGAAGGTGGAGCTTTGGTCTTGACCTGCCAGAGGATACCCTTTGCAATCCTCCACAGCAGGGGTGTCAAACACACCCGAACCAAATCATGTTTATTTTTTCCGTTTGGGTCCGAATACTACTTAGTGTAGATTTGACACGATTAGACTATATTGGACTGATAAAGGAGACCTCCAAGACACTCAAGAAAATATGGACAATTAAGGTCAACACTCCCATTGGTTGGGGGTCTTGCTATTCTGATTATTGTAATTTGTTTCTTCAATTTGCCACCCAGGGCCGCAAGCTACACAGCCACGAAACCAGCAATTATCATGACATGCTGAGATATGGCTGAAGCTAGGTTTTGAATGGTTATGACATGTGTCTATTCTGAGGCATTTTATACTATATATGATTTGGAAAGAAGGTATCAACCCCAGCGAGAAAAGGAACATCTTGGAACATCTCAAAAGAGTTGAAAACAAGTGAACCTACTGTGAGCCACATCCAGCCATGAGTGGAGCAGCCACTTCTCTCTTTTTGCGTCACTTCAGACCTTGCCACTTCCTGCGCGATTCCATCCCGGCCGCCACGTGCATGCTGGTGCAGGTGCAGCCCACGCCGCCAACGTCCCAAGCGCGGCACGAGGACGATGCGAGCGAGACCGCTCGCTGGTTCGGTCGAGGGTGTGGCGAAGATGACACCAAGAAGTGGAGGTGATGTGTAAAGTGTCCATCTTATAGTTAATGTATGTATAGACAATCTATGACAATATATATTTATTTATACAAATTATGTGTTTATTGTTTATTATGGGTTGGTCTTTTTCCTCAGTTGTGGGATGATTGCCGTGTTTAGGTGCAAGACATTGGCAATATGGTATGCCTACATTGTTTAGTCCATAATCAGTTTGGGAGTCTTCAAATCGGGACAAGGTCCAGATAAAACATTTAATTGCCTAAAAAACATCTTACAACTACCCTACAGCTTTTCAAGGACCCAGCGTCAAGAATTGGTGTTTTGCTGGATCTTCTTGCTTGACCCACAAGCAAGTAATAAATCATCATTGATCATCCATTTGCATGAAGAACGAAGAGCACCTGAGAAGGCAACACATCACCCAAACAATTCCAACAACCTGATATAATATCCCAACCAATTATTCATGTGTCTATCCGCGAATTGTTGGTGGAAAAGAACTGCGCGCAACACCCAGTCAACACCCCCAAACGTGTCGCCACTTTTCGCCGAAGAGCCCAGCGGCGACGACTTTGCCGCAGGTGGTCAGTCCTCTCAGTCGAGCCGAGCGGGAACTGGCCCAGCTGGAGAGCGAACAGGCCCAAAAAGCGTACAGTGAGTGCTCCATGCGGCCGCTTGAGCCATTCGAACAGGTGGTGGAAAAGAGATGAAATTGATGAAGACTTGAGCTAGCAACCTGAATGTGATGTGATGGATGAAGACAAGTGATTTGTTCCAACTGCGCTTAAAGTAATATAGAACATATTTGAATAACGAAATCCAGAAAGCCATCCGATGGTCATGCCATGAGGCAGTGCCTTTGGGTAACGTGTTTCTTCTCATGGGGTGCGCTGTTTGAATCCATGCAGATCTGCCATTTTTGTTCCATCTTGATTGCCACACATCCCCACACCTTGTAAATCCTTTGCTCGGCCCTGGTGCCCGCACGAGTTCCGCGCGTCCGTCTGACTCCGTCCCACCGTCGGTTGAGAGGCGAAGTGCGAAGCAGAGGTCGAGGAGGCGGCGAAGGGGGCGCCGTTCGGCGAAGGTGTGGCTTTTCTCTCGCGGTATCCGATGAGTCGAATTCAACGGGGGAAATCAAGATCATCATTTGGGGGTGTCCGAACTGACCTGTCACATTCAATTGATCATAATTTATATCACTATATTTTGGAGACAGGCCTTTACTAACCATCATCATCCACTGTTACAGGGTTTTTGGGATATACCCAAAACATCCCAAAACATAATGACATCCAAGTATACCCCAGACACGACTAATGGGACTGCCATAGGACTGCCGATCAGTTGGGGTTGTTGAAAAGGGGTCGTTGGGGCGGCAGTCCTATGGCAGTCCCATCGGTGGGTGCTTGCCTGGTACTTGCAGGCCGTTTGTTTTTCTGTTCGGTTCGGCAGTCCAAAGGAATAGTCCGAGCGGTTCAGGTTGGGTGGAGGACCCTGCATGTTGCTGGACCCTTTTCTTACAATTGGGACGGTTCAGGAATTCTGGTGAGTCCAGAAACAAGGACATGCTCCTTGACTCAAAGTCACACAAAGGCTCAGACCCTGTCGCTTCAGACACCGAGCGGACAGGGCCACGGTGTCGATGGCATTGGAGGAACGAACTGCGGCGTAGCCTGGGAGTCGGTCAGACCAAGAATGGTCTGACTGACTAGGTGACCCGAGTTGAGGAATTTCCTTTACTTCAGTCGGTCCAAAATATAGTCGAACTGGACTTCCAGGGTATCATATCACTCTTCTTTCTTCTTCCCTCTGTTGAAAGACAGCGGAATAGATGAAGAGAAGACCCTGCCCGTGCGACCCGTGCGACCGGTGCGAAAGCATCCCTTGGTCTTAGACCGAGGTCCCGGGCCCCGGGATGAGTACGCCAGGTGGAACGGCGAAACGCCAAGCTGCGCTATGGCCTGAAGCAGAACTTAGGGCTGGAGAGAGGCCAGGAACTCAGTTCCTGGCGTAGAAATCTTGGAGAAACACTGCTGGCAATACCAGCAATGAATTCATACAGCCTTGGAAATGATTGGAAATGATTATATGAGGCTTACGCCTGACAGCCGGGCGCCGGCCTATTTGGGTTTGGGTATGTGCAGGGCTGGGTCCTCTCTCTCTCTCTCTCTCTGTCTCTCTCTCTCTCTCTCTCTCTCTCTCTGTCTGTCTCTGTGTCTCTTTTTCTTTCTCTCTTTGAGACTTGGTGGGGCCTATATTGAGCAAAGTTAAGCTATCTGGTGCGCATCTTGGCCCTAGGTTGGGCCAAGTTGAGGCCATGTGGTCTATGTTGGGCACATCTTGGGACCATGTTGAGCCTATGTTGGGCCTAGGTCGGCCTATGTTAGGCCTATGTTGGCCTAGGTTGGGCCTATGTTGGCGTATGTTGGCCCCATGTTGGCCTATGTTGGCCCTATGTTGAGCCATCTTGGAGGCTATGTTGGGGATATGTTGCCTATCTTGGGCCTATGTTAGAGATATGTTAGGCAACTTATGTGCACAACACCCACGAAATGTCGATTAAGCCTGTCCGCGCGGCACGCATAACCGACACCACCGGCGCCCTGTTAGGCCAGAGTCGTGTCCGCCGAAGGCCACGAAACACTGTAAAAAACGGTGTTTTTGAACATTTTTTGAACAGCCTGCGCCAGATACATATGAATCGGTCGACACGGGGTCGACACGGGGTCGACACGGGGTCTCCCCGCGGTCCAACAAAAGGGTCGGCGGCAGGGGCGGCGAGCGTATATAACCTTCGGTTACCAACCGAAGGCCTCCGGCAAGGACACGGGCCCGTGGCCGGCGCCCGGATTTATGAGGCTTACGCCTGACAGTTAGAGTCCGCGCACTGGATCCTCTCTCCCTCTCCCTCTCCCTCTCTCTCTCTCTCTCTCTCTCGCTGTCGGTCTCTGTCTCTGTCCCTGTCTCTGTCTCTGTCTCTGTTTCTTTCTCTGTCAGTCTCTGTCTCTGTCTTCTCTGTCTCTGTCTCGGTCTTCTCTGTCTCCGTCTTCGCTGTCTTTGCCTCTCTCTCTCTCCCTCTCTCTCGCTTTCGCTTTCCCTCTCCCTCTCTCTCACTCTCTCTCTTTCCCTCTCCTATTGAGCAAAGTTAAGCTATCTGGTGCGCATCTTGGCCCCAGGTTGGGCCAAGTTGAGCCCATGTGGTCTATGTTGGGCGCATCTTGGGCCCATGTTGAGCCTATGTTGGGCCTAGGTCGGCCTATGTTAGGCCTATGTTGGCCTAGGTTGGGCCTATGTTGGGCCTATGTTGGCGTATGTTGGCCCCATGTTGGTCTATGTTGGCCCTATGTTGAGCCATCTTGGAGGCTATGTTGGACATATGTTGGGGATATGTTGGCTATCTTGGGCCTATGTTAGGGATATGTAAGGCAACTCATGTGCACAACACCCACGAAATGTCGATTAAGCCTGTCCGCGCGGCACGCAAAACCGACACCACGGGCACCCTGTCGTGGACGCCGAAGGCCACGAAACACTGTAAAAAACGATGTTTTTGAACATTTTTCGAACATCCAGCGCAAGATACATATAAATCTGTCGGGCGGATTCGGGCGGGGGTCGGGCGGGGGTATCCCCGCGGTCCAACAAAAGGGTCGGCGGCAGGGGCGGCGAGCGTATATAACCTTCGGTTACCAACCGAAGGCCTCCGGCAAGGACACGGGCCCGTGGCCGGCGCCCGGATTTATGAGGCTTACGCCTGACAGCCGGGCGCCGGCCTATTTGGGTTTGGGTATGTGCAGGGCTGGGTCCTCTCTCTCTCCCTTTGAGACTTGGTGGGGCCTATATTTAGCAAAGTTAAGCTATCTGGTGCGCATCTTGGCCCTAGGTTGGGCCAAGTTGAGCCCATGTGGTCTATGTTGGGCACATC